GTCGTTGCCGAAAAGATGGTGTGCTCGCTGCTGCAGAGCTACCCAGCTAGTCGGCGCCCCCAATCCTACGAACCAGGGGATCGCTACACCTCAGAGAACTCATGGCGATTGCGCACGTCGACGCTCGACACGTAACGTCCTTATCCACTGCTTTCTATTCTAGAGGAGGGGGGGGGAGAAAGAAAGAAACGGGTCAAGGTTGTGAGGTTGTAGTCTAAGCTAGGCCTGAGGCGGGCCAAGAGAAGTCTGTACTGACAAGACCAACGTGGTAGCATGGTATGGATCCCGGAGTCTGAGGCGAAGCAACACACACAGCTTCGAGCCGAGTGACGAGATAAGCGTCTTTGACAGGCCCGGATAAGTTGAGCCTCCCGCTTCGCTTCCTTTCGCGTTCGGGAACAGTGTGGGGGATAAGCCAAAGAGAGTGCCCTACACTGGTAAGGGCACACTTTTTGTTTTCGTCACGACCGAGCCGAATCACCTGCAGCGGATGAGTCCCGTGAAGCGGAGGGTTCCTATCAAGGCGGTGGGCGCGTTGCAATCTCTGCTACTCCTCTATTGCATGGCGGGGAAAGAATGAGTAGTGTCTTACGCAACCAACAGGCCCATCCCCTGAGGTCCGAGCAGAAAAATGATGAAGACGACGACGAGAAATGTCAGAAGCGAGGATTTCGCTCGGTTACTAGCCGTTTGTTTCCCCGCGCTGTCAAGGCTCGTTCGCGGGAACGAGCGAGAGACCGAGCCGAACATCGAAAGAGTTGACGATATCAACTCACCAAGACGGCTCTTATCGTCATCGCCAAGACAGTAAGCAACGCTGGCTGAAGCATACTTGCAGAAGGTGTTTACCGCGGATCGGCTGCACTTGGCTTTCAGATCGAAGTTCAAGCTAGATAGAGCACCCATGTCGACGGCCATAAGCAACAATTAAAAGTGGCTCCCAAGCAGTGTTAGGAAGCCGTCTTGGCAACCTTCTTTTGTTAACCTTCTCTGCCAATCTACATGAGGTGCGTTAGTAATTCTCCCTATTCCCTAACGACTTAACGAGGACCCGTAAATGTCCAAAGACGGGAACCTGGCAAAACCTTACGCGTGTAATTCGGACGACGGGGAGTGGCTTGGCTGTTGGCGACGTTTTGTTCTGTGCCGATCGCAATTCACACAAAGTCCTCCGGGGCGGGTCCGGTCTCTGGTCTCCGGAAGGCGGGCGGCAGGCGGCCCGGGATGGGATGCAAGATCGGTGCTTGTGCTGTCTGACTCGCCAAGACCGGCCGTGTTGGGCAGGTGCTTTGGGTTCCTTGGGAGGGGTCTCAGTGTTTGTCCCCCCGGACCACTCTCGCTCCCACCCGTTACACTGCAGGCGGCCACTCGAAGCGACGATCCGAGGAAACACGTAATCCTGTTTCTCACGAACCCGCCGCTGCACTGCAATCCACGACGAGAGCAACATCCCAAAAAAAGAATGCCATGGGGCGGGGATCTGGTTTTCCTCACTGCGGATATGTAATTTTGTTTCTTGTGTGTTTAGAGTTTGATGAAATCCAATTGCCTAGAGAACGCCACGCTCAATGCAAATCAAATAAAGTACACTGCTTTTGGTGTCTTCTTTTTATAAGTTGTGGTTGGGTTTGCTTCTTCTTTTTGTCTCCTCGAGCTTTGTTCTCGTTGTCCTGTGCATTCTGACAGAGCCGACATCTCCGGAAGAGAGTAGACGCAGAAGGGGCGCAGCTTCGGGAATCTGACTATCCTTCAGGCAACGACAATAGGGGATGGGTATAAGTGCCTTGCATCTAGTCGCGTAGTCTTCTTCTTGCCCCGGGTAAAGAAAGCCAAGATCTCTCACTGGAGGAGCTCCTCGCAAGTCCAATCCTCGTAGCTGACGTTCGGTTAGCCTGCGTCGCTCACGGCATCGTCCATCCGGGCAGGCTTGCGTGGACTGCAGGGCTGGGGGGCGGGGGTTGGATTGGGTTGGGTTGGGGGTCATCCGGGGTCAACACTTACTATCCGTCCGGCATGTATCGGCGCACGATAAGAGGAATCTTCTTCTCGCGCATTTCCTTGATGGCGATCTGAAGAGGATCCGTCTCACCTTCCAGGTCGACGAGTACCGGCGCATTCATGCTACAACAGGCCCCGCGTCAGCAAAAGTGTCGACCGATGGCCTGCATCGTGAAGTGGGAAAAGGATGGCGCCGTCGTACCTGATTTGCAGAGCGCGCGTGCCGAGAATACGGGCGCGTTCGTACTTTGTCATGTAGGGCGTGGTCGTGCGCTGGTCATCGGGGATCTTCTTGTCGCGGTGGCTCTTTTCGTTGCCCTTGCCAGAGTTCGCCGCAGCAGAGGGGTCGCCCGACACGACGACGTTGTCTGCGTCCTCCTCGTCGCCCTCGGCGCGGCCAACCTCCTCGTCCTCAACGGGGACCTCGGGATCCCAGTAGTCGGCGGCCTCGTCCTCGTACATGGGCTCGTCGCTGCCAATCGTTAGAGTCGCGTTTCTTCCTCAATGCAGACAATCTGTCTGGACGTACCCTCCGCCGACATCATCGTCGCCAAAGTCAGACATGTTTCTTATCGATGGTGATTGCAATTAACTGAAGGATGCCGTAGTGGAATTGGATGGTGGTCGAGCTTCCGTCGCGTAATTGTAGGTGTCGCGGGGAGGGACGAGTTGACTCTGCTGGATCCAGCCGTAAAAAATTATTGACGAGGCTGCGATTCAGTAGCTGGCATGTGGGTCTTCACTAGCCTTATCAGTACCAGAAAATGCTTATCCGGACCGAGGAGACCCCGGCTTCCCCATTGTGGCTGGTGAGCGCACAAAATTTCGTCTCACCGCCTGACGATATTCTGCCAGAAATAAGTTCACGAGCTGGTTTCCGAGACGATACTTTTCAACCCATCGTCAAGGAAGGCATGCCCTTCCTCAATCGCTCGCCATGACGAAAAGGAAGGCTTCAGAGGCTGCCCTCGTCTCGGAACCAAAGAGGTCCAAGATTGAAGATCCCGAAGGCACCGGCACTGGTACGCACATATCTGGCAATTGGGTGTAAGCCAAACTTTTTTTTCTCACTAACATGACGCCCGGGAAGCCCTCAGCGACGATGACTTCGACGACACGGCCAGCAACTCCGCCTCGACAGCCAACGCCGACGCAGAGACGGTTCTGACGGGGCAGACCTCCCTCACCACTCGCTCCCGCAAATTCCCCTCAGACCTCAAGACAATCCCCTGCACCTATCCCGACTGCCACAAGACCTTCAACCGTCCCGCCCGCCTGGCCGCCCACCTGCGCTCCCACACCGACGACCGCCCCTTCAAGTGCACCTACCCGGGCTGCGACAAGGACTACCGTGAGGAGAAGCACCTCCGCCAGCATGTCAAGGGCTCCCACACCCAGGAGCGAGCATACACCTGTACCCACGATGGCTGCGGCAAGTCGTTCCTGACGGCAACCCGTCTGCGCCGCCACCAGGACGTCCACGCCGGCCAGGAGCGCTTCCGCTGCCGCGAATACCCCCCGTGCAACCAGAGCTTCCGCAAGCACAACACCCTGCAGCGGCACATTCGCTCGGAACACCTCGGCGCCCACGCCTATCCTTGCCAGGAAACGGGCTGCGGCGCCGGCTTCGACTCTCAAGGCGCCCTGCGGAACCACACTCGGCGGGAACACAGCGAGCCGCAGTTCTGGTGCGAAGAGTGCGGCGGCGAGGAGGGCGGCGCCAAGGTCGGCTTCACCTCATTCGCGCTGCTGCAGGCGCACATCCGCAAGGAACACCTGAACTGCATCTTTTGCGAGTTCAAGTGCACCGGCCAGTGGGAGCTGGAGCGGCACGTCGAGATGCGGCACTCTGGCATCTCCGTCGAGGCCCGCAAGACGATTGCCTGCACCTGGGAGGGATGCGACAAGAAGTTCACCAAGAAGCACAACCTCACGGTGCACATCCGCACTGCCCACGAAGGATTCCGCGTCGTCTGCGGCGAGCTCGATGTGATGGGTGCTGCGGGCTTGGAGGGCTGGTCGAACGAGCAGGGTTGCGGCGCGGGCTTCATCAGCAAAATGAAGCTGGAAGAGCACATTCGGCACGTTCACCTGGGTCTGCCGCGGCCGCAACCTAAACTCGCCGAGGGACCGTCAAACCTCATTGACGACATCGCCGGCACGAAGCGGAACATCCAATGCGCGATTGAAGGCTGCAATGCCCGCTTCATCCGCCACCACGACCTCCAGGTCCACCTCGAGAACCACCCCCCTGCGGCTCCGCAGATGGACCAAGTCGAGGCAGCAATCCTGAGTCTGGCGGACACCCCCAGCTCAGAAGACATGAGCACCGCTCCCTTTGGCGAGAACCGTGAGATGCCGGAGCTGCCGCTGTACGGCATCATCCCCGGCGTTACGGACTTTACCGGTGGCGACCAGGGCCAGACCGACGATTTCTGGATCGGTGCCGCAGATGACTTCAACACGCCGCCGCAGACGTGGCAAGAGGAGGAAGCTGCCATGCGCGCCCTCATTGACGAAGACTTCACCCGCTTCGTCGATCCGGCGCTGGGAAATATGGCGTAGAAAAAGGACACATGATTTTGACGACGTATTGATACCCGGCCGCAGGCCACACCAAAAGTTGATGGATGGGGAATCACTAAAAGTTGTTGCTTTGTCACATGTATATGTAAATGGAATCAAAGGAGCCAAGATGTTACGGTCACGAATGTGGTACCTCGAAGTGCGCTAGTGAAATCATTCATTTTCATTATACCCATAATTGATGCCCCTCTATAATGTGCCGCTGGAATGCTGCTTAGCAAGTCTACTCGAACCAAGCCAATGACAGCGAAGCGGTAGTGATGACTCTAACACAACTGGAGCCTTCCGAACCCGAAAACCTGCCTTGGTATGATATGTGTATGCCCGTGCCGACCGTAACCAAAAAAACCGATCCTGTTACTCCCTGAACCGTTTGAGCATGACTTAAAATGCCCAATGCGAAAGCCCGTATGCCGTTAATGCGTAGATGCAATGGCGCCAGTGATACCCAGCAGAGCCATGCCTATGAACCCGAAAAATATGCAGAGGTTGCGGTTGTGATTCAAGCTGAGCGCCTCGACAAAGAGCTGCAGGCCGACGCTGACCATGATGCCAGCTGTGATGGCGAACATGCAGGCGTAAGCTACTGGGGTTGGGCTGATGTGGGTGTGATTAGCGAGCTTGAACCACAACACAGCAATGCCAGCGCCAAGGGGCTGGCTGAGGCCGCCCAGGATGGCGGCCCAGAACATGGCCTTGAGACGACTTCCAAGGGCCATGTACAATGGCAGAGCCATGGCAAAACCTTCGGTGATGTTGTGGACGAAGAGAGCCATAAACACGTTGAAGCCGAGTGACGGGTTAGCGTGGTTCGTGGCGTAGGTGATGAAGCCTTCAGGGAACTTATGAAGTGCAATGGCGATGGAGGTTTGCAGACCGAGTGACATGAACGCGTTCGTGGGCACATGGTGATGATGTTGTCCTTCGACATCCTCTTCCTCGCCGTCCTCGCCGTGCGCCGCGTGGTCATGGTCGTGATGATGACTGTGGTTGTGGCTGTGACTATGGCCATGATCATGATCGTGCGCTTCGTGGTCCACGTGATTCCGTGATGGCATGGGCTCTCTTGACGCCGCCCGACTGGTCCGTACCTGTCCACTGATCGGTGAATGGCACTGGGAGTCGCTCTCCTCCAAGTCTGTCAGATCGGTATGGCTGTGGTTATTTGGGTACAGCTGTGCAATGCTGGTCCTCACAATAGTTGGGTGTCTCGAGGAAGCCGCTGAACGGTTGGCCACATGCTTGAAACATTCCTGGCCGCATGGATCGGAGTACCCAAAGCAAGGGCCCTCCTCATCGCAGTTCGATTTCATGTCATTCATGAAAGATGCGATTCGCTGTTTGACTTGAAGCATAGACGGTCGCCTTTCCACCGTCGCACCGCGGCTTCGCGATATCCGCGGCGGGTGCGAGTGTGTTGTGTTGAGGGCCAGGGCGCTCCTAGCATGTCCCTTAGGCATCAGGGATCCTCCGTTCTCATGCGCCGTCTCTCCATTGAGCAGAGGCGTGGACTCGGTAGCGTGGCCATTCTTAGTGATGCTCTCCACAAAGGGCCGTCGCGATGATCGGCGACTGCCCGAGTATAAAGACGTCTTTCTGCTCTGGCTGCGTGACCGAGTATCGGCTTCATTGTGTGTGTGGTCACAATCAACCACATGCGACGGCATGTACTGGTGCAGCAGACGGGAGATAACCTGTATACCAAAAAAGCCCCCAATAAAGCAGCCCATCATAATGAAGCCCGCCTTTTGGTCTTGGTAACCATCCTCCTTAAGGTACTGTTTTGATGACGGCAGCATGCTGTTTAACGCAGAGTAAAGCTAGAGATCGGGAGTGGTATTAGTAATAGTTCTGAGGTGTCGCGCATGGGGCTGCTGGAATGACATACCATAACGCCGAAGCTCAAGCTCAAAGAGCTGGCAAGAAAGACATTGCTTTCTTGTATCCTGAAGTTGCGCTGCCCTGGTAGCAATCGTACCAAAATGTCGATGCAAATGGCGGACGCGCCTACGATACAAGCTGCCGAGAGACACCAGTCAGCAAAATTTCCACTTCAGACGTCCATGGAGTTTTGTCACCTACCAATTCCACTCACGATACTCATGATCCACCCCCTGGTATCGTTGTCAATCTCTGTCGCCTTCATGATGGGCGGCTTGGGCTCAGCGCCTCCAATGGTTGCCTGTTGCGATCGCGATCCTCAGCGCATGTAGCCGAATGGTGTTTTGATGTCTTTCTTGTTGAAGCGCAATTTGTTGGACCCAATCTAGGAAAGTCGCCAGAGTCCTAGGTGTGCCTGGGGAACAGGTGCTGGTGTGGCGGCTTCGATTCGTCCTGCAGGAGAGCGGGTGACGTATTGCGGCGCGCAATAGACCCAGACGAGTGGGATATTGGTTCGAGGGTCCCGGGAGACGGGAGCGGATAAGTATGGGGATGTTGTAGATTTCGGGAGAGGCGTTTGGAAACCTTGATCGTAGGTAGATTGTCCAAAGAGGTAGGCAAGATAGGGGAAAAGGGATAGGGAAAGTCGAAGAGGTTGCTGGAGGAAGCAAAGGGTATTGTTGTCGGTGGGAGAGTAGTGATGTAGACGGCTGCCAATAAGATGGAATGGGACTGGGCGCTGAGCGGCGTGCTTTCCAGATTTGCGCTGGGGCCGCAGCCAAAGAGGTGGGGGGCTTCACTGGTGTAAATAGAATGGGAGCGCCTGCAGCCTTAAGCTTTCCAGCAGCGCGGATTATACGCAGCAGTGGATTCGGAGGCGCTGGATTTGGCGCTTTCTGGAGCCACTGCGTTGTTTCTGTGTGATGGATCATGGGCGGTAGTGAAGTGGGCTGGGGGCTGGGGCCTTCTGTTGTTCATGACTGGACCGAGGCCATCAAGGTTCTCAAAATTCCTCCTCCAGTACACAAGTCACTCAGCTACTCAGGCAAGAAAAGGTCTCACGCCCAAACAAAGCTTGTTTCCCATCCATTCTCTTTTGCATATCTACTTTCCACTTCGGACTCCCCTTGCCTGCGCGTTATCAGTTGGCTGCCGCCCTACCCTGCCTGCAGCTTGCCGTCTGACCCTCCCCGATCGCAACCCACCTTTTGTTGCCTTTTGGTGCACAAGCAGGCGATGCGGCTCTTTCAATGAGATAAAGACGGCGTCGAATTCGAATGCATATGTTTCTCAAAAACTCTGTTTTGTTCTACAAGGTGCAGTCATTCAGAAAGAAACAGACTGCATACAAAAGATGCAAGTTGTCAGCCGCTTTGTTGGGATCCCCCGGCGGCGAGTCAAGCTGCTGGTCGACAACACACACCCATGGCCTTGGCTTGAGAACCCGGATGGCGCTACATGCCGGGTATCCTCGTACTCCCTCGAGACCCGTGACTCTTTGGCGATGTGCGCCAGCTCAGTGAAGCCGCCCGAAGCGCATGCTAGGGAGATGCCAACACATGTGAAAGGAGGGAAGACTGCTGCTGGTTTGGCGGCTGTCGTTATTTCAGGTAGGGACCATGGATCCAAAGAAACTTTCTGAGCATCGCAGGGTCTCGCCCAGACCGCGAATCGGAGGCTGGCATTTTGTCATCCGCTTTTTTTCTGAGCATGGAGCCCGCCTCGTCTCTCGGTGAAGCGACTGCACGCTCACCGAGGCCAGCCCCATTCCAGCCCCTCAGCCTGCACCCCGAAATCCTTCCACTCCTCATCCCCGCCATCGCACCTGCCAGCTGTCGGCAAATGCTCGGGACATCTGCAGTGGAAGCCCCACACGAGCTCCTCCTTCCGATCGGCGTCCCGGACCAGGCGCCGTCTCAAGCCCAAAATTTTATCCAGCTCCGAGCTCCAGATCCCCGTCCCGTGAAGAACCACAACTGAGACATCCACCACACCACCACCAGATCACATCCACGTGCCCTTCCTTCCAACACCCGTGGTCGTCGCTGTCATAACCGCCTGACGCTGGCGCCCGGTTTCCGTCCTCCTTCCCTCCTACAAACTACTTTTCGAATCCCCTCAGAGTACCGGCCGCGACCCAGCCCGCCATGTCGAAAGCAACATCCATCGCCCTCGTCGCGGCTCTAGGCGCGGGAGGAGGCGCCGCCGTCACAGCAGCCATGTACGGCCTCCGGTCCAAGCAGCCCGCCACCGATGCGCCCATGACCGCCGCGCCCTCAACAAACGCCTTCACCACCGCTCCCACCGTCCCCGTCCCGGGCTCCCAAGTCTTCGACAACAAAGCAAACCCCAACGCACCCCTGCCGTCGGCGCCCCCGCCAATCCCCGGCGCCATTCCCGGCGCCATCGTCGACCCCGCCGGCCTCTTCCAGTACGGCTTCCCCGGCCCCGTCGCCGATCTCGCGCCCCGCGAGGGCCTCATCTCGAGCTTCGACCGCCGCACACGCAACCCCCACTGGGTCGTCGAGCACATCACCCCCGCCTCCCTCGCCCAGAAGGGCGGCGACCGCAAGGGTAGCACCTTCCTCGAGGACCCCTCCGTCCCCGAAAAGTTCCAGGCCAAGCTCAAGGACTACTTCCGCAGCGGCTACGACCGCGGCCACCAGGTCCCCGCCGCCGACTGCAAGTGGTCCCAGCGCGCAATGGACGACACCTTCTACCTCACAAACATGTGCCCCCAGGTCGGCGACGGCTTCAACCGTGACTACTGGGCCCACTTTGAGGACTTCTGCCGCCGTCTGACGTCGCGCTACCCCTCCGTCCGCATCGTCACCGGCCCGCTGTACCTCCCGAAGCGCGATCCCGTCGACGGCAAGTGGTACACGAAGTACGAGGTCATCGGCAACCCGCCCAACGTCGCCGTGCCGACGCACTTTTACAAGGTCATTTTCGCGGAGGACGGCAAGGCCGGCGGCAACGTCGCCATCGGCGCCTTCGTGATGCCCAACGCCGTGATCCCCAACGAGAAGCCGCTCTCCGACTTTGAGATGCCGTTGGAGGCCGTCGAGCGCGCCGCCGGTCTGGAGTTTGCGTCGAAGCTGGCCCCGCAGCGTCGCAGGAGGCTGTGCAGCGAGGCCTCGTGCGCCATCATCGTGAGGGACTACGCCGATAGGCAGAAGGCTTTCACCAAGAAATGAGAAGGGCCGGTGTTGGGTTAAGAACATATCAAGGCGAGCACGGGAGTTTGCAACATGGGAAATCTGCAAACCCCCAGGGCCACAGAGCGGCTTCGCCAAGGATAAGTCGCATGTGAAGAAGTTCCATTCATGTCTGTACATTTACCCTCGGAGAGAGGAGCACAAACGAGTGAAACCATTGCTGGGGAACATCGCGGGATAGCATCTGAGCGAGACCGTAGGGCGTGTGGTTTGCTGGTCGGCGACACATACTTGTACACTAGATAGGCCCGACGACTGGACAGTTGATTGGACTGCCACTGCATCACAAGCTACCTTTCTCAAACCCAGCGAGTAGTGAATGTGGGCCCAGTCTTGGTCGGGGAAATTGACACGCATGATCTGCACGCCATTACGCTGTCATGTTTGTGGAATTACGTACTGCATGCATGGCAATATCTTCCATCCGGCGTAGTAACTCTTCAGGCCGGAAGACAAGACTGCGCCAGTGTCCTGTTCTGTTGTCTGGTCAGCGTGGAGACACAATACAATTTGACACGCAGCGACCTTGAGACCTCCGGGCAAGCATGTGCTGTTTAACTTTTATTGTAACACTAGGGTATCACCACTGCCCTTCTCCCTTTTCGTATTTACTATTCTTACACCAAGGTCACTGTCCAATTTGCAATTGTTGGTTACGCCTGGGATCTGTCCTGGGATCTGTCCTGAGATCTTTCCTTGAATCTCTCCTTGGATTTGCTCCAAGATCTGCCCTGAGTACTGCCACGTGACTAACGTATTCTCGTATAGTTGCCGCGTCGCTGCTCCGCCTTGAGACTCTCCTCCTGACTGGGCAAAGGAGCTCTCCTACCCCCGCGGTCGTGCCCATTAAGGTCGGCTCCGGGCGGCGGCATAGGCATGGGAGGGAATCCGGGTGGTGGCACAAAATTTGGCGGCGGGACCATTCCGGGAGGGAAACCGCCGGGCGGTGGAGGAGGGAGCGTGCCTCCGGCCTTCTGGATCATCTCGGCGATCTTTGCAAGGTCGGCAGGATTGCTCGGGTCTATGCCGCCAGGCAGTTGGATAGGCGGTGGCGGAGCCCCGTTCAGGCCAGGCAAGCCTGGTAGTGGGAACGGCAGCGGCGGAGGAGCTCCGCCGTTTGCGCCGACGCCTGGAATCATCGGTGGTGGCGGTACCGGAGGCCCGCCAGCGCCATTCGGTGGCATAGATAGACCGGGCAGGCCAGGCAACCCAGGCAAGCCGAGGAACCCAGGGACAACTGGCTGCTTGAGCGGCATCTTCTGATCGACGAGGCCGTCCATCTCGTCCTCCATCTCCTGCTCCTCTTCTTCCTGTCTTTGGCGACGACCTCCGCGACGGTCCCAGGTTCCTTGAGCCTCGGCCGCCGCCTCTCCGATGTGGTACCTATCCTGGAAGACGTCGGAATCTCCCGGCCGCTTTCTTGACCAGAACCTCGTGATACGGTCGTTCGAGCCAGAAGCCAGGATGTGACCAAGCGGGTGCCAGTCCAGAGACCAGATCGCGAAATCGTGTGCATATGGGACCTTATGAGCCGGGTAGATGGTCTGGGCGCTAGTTGTGGATGGGTCCGAACTGTCGTATGGCGCGATGGTAGTGTGGCCAGCTGGCGTGTTCGGCTCGTCTAGGATGTAATGATATAACGAGCCGTCGTGTCCACCGGTGCTGAGGAAATTCGAGTGAACGGGATGCCACGCGATGGTTGAGATGTCCTTCTCGTGTCCCTTCAACAAGCAAATGTCCCGCATCATTCGGAGATCGAAGACGCGGGCGGTTTGGTCTCTTGCTGAGGTTGCAAGGCAGTCTCCTTGAACTCGCTCAAAGAGCGTCTTGGTAATCGTGTTCTTGTGGCCGTGAAGTGTCGTCAAGCAGCGGCCGGTTCTTGGATCCCACAGCTTAACCACGTGATCTTTTGAACCCGATACCAACAGACCTTTGGTGGGATGCCAATCACAACTCTTGGCGTCCCAGCCGTGCCCCTTGAGAACCGACTCTTCGACTCCACCAGCGAAGTCAAAAATCTTCAATGTCGAGTCGTCGCATGCCGTGA